AAAATCATTAGGATATTAAGTATAGATCATGTTCCATGAAGATATTTTGTACATTTCCTACTGTAAATAATCAAAACTTAATTTTTGATTAGTAATATGCATTGCTAAGAACTTCATTTGGACAACTTTAAAGATGATTTTCTCAATATTTAGATTTTTTTGCACCCTCAGATTCCAGATTTTCAAATAGTTGTATCTCGGCCAAATATCGTCCTATCCTAACAAACCATACATCAATGGAAAGATTATTTATTCAGCTTTCAGATGATGTATACATCTCAATTTCCAAAAATTGACCCTTATGACTGGTTTTGTGCTCCAGGGTCACAAATGTGAAGAAACTCATTTTTGGTTGCTCTGTTGTTTGCGAGTGTTCTGCAGTGACGACGGATTCTGTCACTGCCTCTTCATCAGTCATTAACACTAGGGTTGGGTATCGTAAGAAATTTTCCGGTTCCGATTCCGGTTCCAGTTTTGCCTAACGATTCCCGGTTCCGGTTCCATTTAGATTAACTATTATTGTTTTTTCTTCACTATTTTACCTTCATTGAATGTAGTGTTGCTGGAGGGTAGTAAGTAATGTTGAGTAATGCTAGTCCATCAATCACATGTGCTTCAAAGTTTGTTTTTTACACTATCAATAACATTTTGCTTTTCAAGCAGGAATAAGCAGGTTGGCCAAATAGTCCCTTGAGGGCCAAGCACTTGTTCATTTCCCTAAATTAATGAAATATTAACATTTATACATATACCCATGTATACACACATGCCATAAAGCCCCTATTTTACAAATAATAATGCAGTCAGGAGATGGTGTGATGCAATGAGTGGTTTCCACATTTTTAAACATTTAAAATGCATGAAAATAAATATTTTCCATCACTTTGTTTATCACTCTTGAAATGACCTGACCTAGGGTTCCCAACCCTAATTAACACACACATCATCATCATCATCATCATCAATGAAAAGACTCTTGCAGTTGAGAGAGTGTCTGACCTGCAGCCAGAGGTTGAAGCTGTCTCTCCATTCTCCGTTGACGGTGCAGAGGAACGTAGCGGTCTGTCTGGCGTTCACCTCCACGCCTTTGATATGGAGAAAGTGTGGCGTGTTCACTGCAGAAACACAGACGAGCCGTTAATTCACACGCTAAACACACTACCAGTCGAACAGTAAGATTTTTAATGTGTTTTAAAGAAGTCTCTTCTGCTCACCAAGCCTGCATTTATTTGATCAGAAATACAGCAAAAGCAGTAAAATTGTGAAATATTTGTACAATTTAAAACAGCTGTTTTCTATGTGAATATCTATTAAACTGTCATTTATTTATTTTATTTTATTTATTAATTACAGAAATTAATAAATTTACTTAGCAAGGATGCTTTAAATTGATCAAAAGTTATGATAAAGACATTTATAATGTTACAAAAGATTTCTATTTCAGATAAATGCGGTTCTTCTGATGAGATCTCAAGAGTGTCTCAAACTCTGATCAGTTTTGACAAAAAACAAAGTTTGCAAACGAGAGCCAAAGACCTTAGGAACTCAAATATTTCTCTTATTCATGACTAAGAATTTTATTCACTATAATGTGCATAATGACTGGTGCATCAAAACCAAACTATATCACACAAAACTATTTCCTTTAAAAAATATAAATATTTTTTATTTTGACTTAAAGTTACTATATCTACAAGTTAAGATATAATTACCTAAAATGCAAAATTGCACAAGGCATTAAAACTTATTTCCAGAAAATAATTATTTTATTTTCTATTTATGTATTTATTTATTTTTTGAAATGGAAATTTCGTTAAGCATAGACCTAACAAAATTTAGTGCATTGTATCCCTAAAACAAGAACAAAATCTATCAAACAAAACATTGTTTCCTTTATAAATATTTTTAAATTAATTATTTATATATTATATTTATATGTTACATTTACATGTTAATTATTTACCTAATAAATAATTTGTAATAATTTATACAAAAAAAAAATTATTTTTTTTTTTGGTACTTTTTTTCACAAAATTAATAAGGCTTATACTTAAAACAAGTATTTTTAAAACAAATCTTAGTTTCACCAAGACTAAAACATCTCTCATATTCTCTCTAGTTCAATAAAACACACAGTGTGTCCAAAAACACCAAAAAGACTTCAATAATCTCTCGAGTTTCAGATGAGATCTCAACGATGTCTCAGACTCTGCTCAGATTTGCCAAACGATCAAAAGTCAGAGTTGGATCTCAAATATTTCTCATCAGACGATCTGAGCTGCTCTTCTCATTCATTTATAACTCTCTACTGGTTTTACTGTAAATCCAACAGCACACATACTGATTCATTTATTAGGGTTCAATGTGATCTTAACCTCAGTCTCTTCAACTGCGCCAAAGATGTTTTATTACCGACATCAATATCTCCCTCTCGACCTCCTTGTTTTTCAGAACGAGTGCAACACAAAAATCATTATTGATTTCTCATTTAATCTGCACTCAGCTAATAATATTCCCCTAAAACTCTAACCTTAACTCTATTGATTTAACAGCGAGTTCTCATTAGTCTCTGCTACAAAGCGCACTCATATCTGGGTCAATGTGCATTTAAAACCAAACGCATCTGTGAGATGAAAGCTCATTTAAATCAGGTTATGAAGTCTAATATTTGACTCGGGCCACCTTGAGTTGATCCGCGGAAACACTGCTAATTCAATCAGTGCCTGTCTCCGTTCTTCCTCGCGCTCTTCAATATTTCAGCAGCCACCTTTATATCTCCAGCGCCCATCTTCTCTCTCTGATCGCTAAAGAAGCGTTTCTTTCCGCTATGATGATAGCGAGACCGTCAGAGAGCGATGCTGTGCCGTATGCATGCACTCATCAGAGCTTCAACACAATCATCCTTCACAAATCCGTCATTAACACTATATAAACATGTTGATATTGACCTCTGATTAGCGAGTTCATCTCTGAGACGCACTGCTTGTGTTACTAGCGTTCTGTATAATGCATGCATATATATATGTGTAGCTCTGGAGCACAAAAGCAGTGTTAAGTCGCTGGGGTATATTTGTAGCAATAGCCAACAATACATTGTATGGGTCACAATTATAGATTTTTCTTTTATGCCAAAAATCATTAGGATATTAAGTAAAGATCATGTTCCATGAAGATATTTTGTAAATTTCCTACCGTAAATATATCAAAACTTAATTTTTGATTAGTAATATGCATTGCTAAGAACTTCATTTGAACAACTTTAAAGATGATTTTCTCAATATTTAGATTTTGTTGCACCCTCAGATTCCAGATTTTCAAATAGTTGTATCTCGACCAAATATTGTTCTATCCTAACAAACCATACATCAATGGAAAGATTATTTATTCAGATGATGATGATGTATAAACCTCAATTTCACAAAATTGACCCTTATGACTGGTTTTGTGCTCCAGGGTCACATACATATATATATATATACATATATACTATAATGCACATTATGTCTTATATATTAGGCAGTGTTGATTTACACTAAGTGCAAATAGCTGAACTTGTTGGCAGGGGACATTTTCAGTACACATACTGTATGTTTAATGATTTCCAGTACAAATATCATACAAATACATTTTTTTACGTCAAGATACATTTACTTGAGAAGCAAAATGAGAGAAGATATTGTGTCTTGTATTTTGAATTTTTTTTATTAAGTAAGTTTAAGCTTAAAATTTTTTAAAAATATATATATATTTATGCCAATGAGGTCAGAAAAATAAATTTGTTTTTCCTTTGAATTCACCCATATGTTGTGTTTTGGTCATTTTGACCTGGAGAGGATTTTCTTTTTCCTAAAAATGCTAGTTAATGTTATTGCATTGAACAAAAACGTAAAAAAATAAAATAAAAAAATATTTTATTTTATTTTTTTTTTATTATTTTTTTATTTTATTTTTTTATTTTTTTATTATTATTATTATTATTATTATTAGCCTATTAGAAAATCTCTTTATTTCTTTTTGTTCCTATTTCGATTTGTTGTTAAATCAAACTTCAGTCATTCAAATATTTTTTTGTTTTGTTTTGGGGATTTTTTCCCCACCTTGTTACACTTGTGGTGTTCCCGATCAAAAATGGCCGGCCTAAAAAAATTTAATTTCTTATGCTATATTATTAACAAATATTGGATTTAATCTTTTTGTCCACTTGATTTTGTTTCAATCAGCACAGGTTTTGTGTTTCTGTTTAGAACTGATTGATCATAGGCCTCGTTGATCTGAGCTTATGCACTTCAGTTTTTGAGTGAATATTGCTAAAATTATCCACAAATAATGTTGTGCTAAATTAAAAAGTAAACAATCAAACGATCGAATCTAATATTTGGTGATTATATAACATAATGATTTTGAAAAGGCTGGTTAAAATTAGGTAAAGGATTTTCAGCACAGTGCAAGGGTTAAATCTATTTTATTTATTTTTTAACAGCAGCGATCACGATTTTGCACAAACAGTGTCTCCAGGAACCTTCTTTTAAGTCAAGAAAGAGAGAGAAAGGTTAAAAACCATAAAGTCCGGTCCATTCATCCCTAAAAAGGGAAAGTCCCTAAAAAGTGCACTGCATTATAGTATACACTATTGCAATTTTAGATCATCTGGGCATTCCATGTGTATCCCAATTCCATTTTGTGCCTAAATTCATATTGCATACTTCTTTCTTTCATACACAGTAGTATGTCACTCTGAGCACTGCCAGTCAAACAGTATTTTCTCAGTAAATCCACTTGAGCTCGACGTATTCCTGGTTTAATCTGCTATTAAGGGACTGAATATCTACTTCACCATCTATAATCTGTATTCTATTCACAATCACTGAACAATAAACAGTTCACATGAGGATAATCCAATCAAATGGTGTTACAGTCACATTCATCAGCATCTGCACACTTCTGCTCTAAACTGCATTATTTATATATTATGAAGTATGCATCTCATGGCCATTCTATCATATGAATACAGTAAAAGCTCATTTAAAAGAGACAAAAAGAAGAATTAGGTATAATAAATATGGTAACACTTTACAATAAGGTTCCATTAGTTAATGTTACTTACTGTATTAACTAACATGAACAAACAATGAACAATACATTTATTACAGTGTTTATTCATCTTTGTTAATGTTAGTTAATGAAAATACAGTCGTTCATTGTTAGTTCACAGTGCATTAACTAATGTTAACTAGCACCGTTTGATTTTAATAATGCATTAGTAAATGTTGAAATTAACGTTAACTAAGATTAATAAATGCTGTAGAAGTGTTGTTCATTCTTAGTTCGTGTTAACTAAAGTAGTTAACTAATGTTAACTTATGACCCTTATTGTAAAGTGTTACCATAAATATGTGTATATATATATATATATATATATATATATATATGCAATGTATTATTATTGTAATAATAAATATTGTATTATTTACACTCTGGCAGTAAATTATCTATATGTAATTTTTTTTTTTAGCATTTTAATTTTTTTTGTAATCTGATTACATGTAATCAGTTACTACCCAGCAATTTAAAAAAATTTTAATTTTAATTTTAATTTTAATCATTTTAAAACAACTGTTTTCTATTTTAACATATTTTGAAATGTAATTTATTCCTGTGATGCAAAGCTGAATATTCAGCAGACAATGCATGTTTAATTAAATAATGAAAAGCATCATAATAAAAAATGAACTAATTCATTATTTTATGTATATGCCTAAGTTAGGAATAATTAAGAATTTTAATCTCTTCTGCTCAGTAAGGCTGCATTTATTAGCTCAAAAATACAGCAAAAAAAGTAATATTGTGAAATATTATTATCATTTAAAGTAGCTGTTCTCTATGTGAATATATTGTAAAATGTAATTAATTCCTGAGATTAAAGCTGAATTTTCAGCATCATTACTCCAGTCTTCAGTGTCACATGATCAGTTAAAGGGGTCATATGATGCGATTTCATTTTTTCCTTTCTCTTTGGAGTGTTACAAGCTCTTGGTGCATAAAGAAGATCTGTAAAGTTGCAAAGACTAAAGTCTCAAATCCAAAGAGATATTCTTTATAAAAGTTAAGAGTTAATCACGCCTACCTAAAACGGCTCGTTCGAACACGCCCCCACATATCTACCTCACTATGTGGGAAGATTTGCATAACGCCGCCCAAATGTTCACACAAAGAAAGAAGGCCTAACTTTTATTCTCGCTGTAATATTGAAAAGTGAAAAGTGAAAAAGTGAAAAGTGACGTGACATGTGGCCAAGTATGGTGACCCATACTCGGAATTAGTGCTCTGCATTTATCCCATCC